TTATGTGAATCGGCTTGCTTTAATTTTATTTTTATTTCAATGTTTAATTTTTTTCGTCACGCTGTGATGACGTCAAATGCGCGCTTTCGTCGAGCGTGCTTTTGTGGACCGCGGTTTTGACGGGTCACGTATTAAACAGCGTCAGAGGCTTATATTCAAATATATGTTTGGTTTTGCTTTAGGGGATACTTTTCTTTCAAAACATTTTGCAATTCTAATTTTTCATCATAATCCTCTCTTGTAATAAATGTGTACATTCAAAAATAATTCTTAAATTAAAAAACAAGGACAGTGTTTATATTCTGAAGCATATTCTTTAATAGCTTAGGAGGGAACTTTCCCAGCTCATACCCTCCAAATGCACTGGCCCATAACTAACAGTACGTAGACATGGCAAATGGAACTGCAGCCCAACATGTTGGGAGAACATCTGTCTAAGGAAGAAAAAAGGTGCATATTATTCTCTCTCCTCCAATAAGAGAGTCAATTAGTCTTACTAAGACAATGAAATTTAAAATGTTTAAAAGTTATTACATTTTTCTCATGACCTTACTCATCTTGACTGTACATGTGTACACTGTCAACTGCAGTAGGATAAGTTGTAAGGCTCTACCATACATGACAGTAGCATGGAAGATTCTTCCCTATTCTAAGAATACATAGTAGTGCTGTGATGGCTCAGTGGTTAGAAAGCAGTACTGCAGGCTAACCCGTTGCTCACTCCAGGAGTTCGAATCTGAATGGCTCAAGGTTGACTCTGCCTTCCATCCTTCCAAGGTTGGTAAAATGGGGACCCAGATTGTTGGAGGCAATATGCTATCTCTTTAAACTGCCTAGAGAGGGCTGTAAAGCACTATGAAGTGGTATATAAGTCTAAGTGCTATTGCTATCTTTAAAGCAGAAGAAAATGTACACACCCACAGATGCTTTACAAACTTATTTTGTTTTTATTTACACTTTCTAAATGTTTAAGCATAGTTGTATTTTTTTATTTTAATCAAGAGGAAAAGTATTACAAAGCAGTAACACTCCCCCCCAAACAATAGGCTCTTTAAAGGGGAAATACTATTAGCACGTCTTGCCATGGCATCAACTTTTATTAAAAAAGGAAGCTGGCAAACCTGTAAAGGACGGCCTAACCTTTTGTAACCTGGTACCTCAACTGATGTCCTGGGGCTCCAGCTTTCAGAATTTCCAGAACATCTGAAAGCTACCAGGCTGAGAAAGGTTTTAACAAGAACTCTCTGAAAGCATCTAAGGTAAGATAACCTCTTCTTCCACAGTCATCACTAATATTTGCTCCTTTAAAGCAGGCGATTGAAGACATACATTCTGAGGAGTATCCAATTTATTGAAAAGGCAGGCCTTGTTATTTCAGCTGACATGTTTCCAGTGCCAGCATTTCACTGCCAGCTTTCTCATTTGTTTTTCTTTTCCTATTCTTAGCAGATTTATACTTTGCTATCCTCAACAAATTCTTCACAGATCTCTATTAAACAAAGCACTCTCCAAACAATAGTGGAAAACTTTCAAACTGAAAAACCGGAAAAGAGAGATTGAGAGATCTGTGCAATGTTTGTGTGTCAGCCTGTCTGTTGGTACTTTGCACATAGGCCAACAGAAAAACAGCCCTATTGCCAACCAGAACTACTGATGTCTATCATCCTTTCCTTTCCTTTCCTTCCCTTCCCTTCCCACAGCCAACCAGAACTACTGATGTCTATCATCCTTTCCTTTCCTTTCCTTCCCTTCCCTCAGCCTTTTCAAACTAAACCTGAATTTATTAAAAAGCAGTAAAGTTCTGATTCCCTTATAATCAGGATAGGGGTGAGGTTGGGTAATGCCACTGTAGCGTTTGTACGTTGATGAGGAAAAAAATCCATATCAGCAAAGCACACATATGGGGATTAAAAGAGAGGGAGGTAGAATCAGCTAGAAGATCACCAGAATGCCTGGTTTCCAGCAGCTGTGTAGCTTTTAACGGTGAGGGAGGAGATGTGGGACCAGGGGAGGGGAGGGGAGTCAGTTCTCCATGTCAGAGCTTTCTCAGAGCTGTACAGGAAATGAGAAGTCAAACAAAGGGACACTCTGTATTCTGTAATACAGACACCTTTCAATCCCTGGAACTGGGTAATTAAAAAAAAAACTTTATTATGCCCTAAAACTAGCAACTGATACGAGACAAAAACAACTTGCCACCCTAGCATTCAGCCATTGTTGCCGCTCATCTGTACTTAATGTAGAAAGGAAGCATGTAGAAGTCATGTATATGAAAAAACACATCCTGGCAAAGGAAATCTACAGAAACAGAAAATCAAAGTCTTCTAACACGACTAAATAAACATCTCATCTATAATGATATTTGCTGCCTTTGCAAGACGCAACTTGTGCCCACTTTGAGACAGAATTCAAAGAAAAAAGACCCCATCTTTCTAATTGAAAAGAGCGAATATTGTAAATGATTTTTTCTTTCTTTCTGGAACAATGGTAGGGAGTGTAAGGGGAATCACCCCACGGCATAGGTTCCAAGTCAGAGGAAACTTAACAGAGGTTTTACAAAGGAAAGGGGGGAGGAGGAGAAAGCTACAGGCAACAGGCATCATAAGTTACCTTCATACTGGCGGAGAATGCCAATATTGTTGTTCATCTTGTCCAAGTACTGGTAATTCAACAGGTCCATCTTCATAAATAGCATTTAGTGGGCTAGCAAAGAAGACCAGCTTGCTTGCTTTCACCCCGCAACAGCAGCGAGAACACAGGCAAATAAATGCTCCAGGCTCCTTCCCAAGCTCCACCAGCCTCAAGGCCCAGCCTCCGACTAATCAAAACAAAAGTATATTAAAATGGAGTGGTTGTAAAAAAAAAAAAAAGGCGGGCGGGAGGCAAAAAAAAAATAAGATCCCCCTTCGGAAGCTCGAAATCTGGAGGCAGAAAGTGGAGAGTAGGTTATGCCAACCGTCGCCACTGAGATTGCGCTGGGGGAGGGTAAGGCCTGGAAGAGCTCAGCTTCCTAGGACAAAGACATGCTAATTCTCCTCACAGCCCGCTGCAAGTTAACTGCGCTGACATGCAGGCTATGCTTGGTATGACTCCTATGTAAACTAGCTTCCTCTTTCTAGCAGTCGGCCAGGACTGAGCATGCTCGCGGAATCCCTGGAGCTCTTCAAATGTCAGGGATATTTTCTGCACAAGATCAGGCTCTAAATGCACAGGGAGTTTTGAAAGCAAGACAGAGGAGAAGGAGGAGGAGCTGTTGAAGACGGCACAGAAGGGGCCATGTCAGCCTCTGCCCTTACAGGAAGCACAGCTGCCACTACAGTACGAGAGAAGAAAAAGCAAACACCAAGCTGCTTTTGACAAAGTCTAAGTTAAAGTTAAACCAATGTATTGGGAGGATTCATTTCTGAAAATAGAAGCTGACACCTTTGCTTTTTTTTCCCCTCCCCATTTTTGCATTCTTAATCTATTTCTAATTCCAAACTAATCTCAATCCAAACACATTGTTAAACAAAAATGATGGGAGTTTTACTTACAAATAAAACTTAGCCGGCTGTAGTACAACTGTCATTATTTAATTCCATATGCACACAGTTAACAATGCACATAGAAAAAAGACTACTATACTGTGATGTTTTAATTAATTGCTGTAATATTTAAATATCTGGTTAAAAAGTTGTGAATTCCAAAAAGAGTACTTTAGAGCCACAGGAACTTGGCATCCTTGTATCAGATACATTTAGGCATTGTTTAATTCTTGGTTTGCTACACAGCAAATGTTTTTTTAGGATGAGTTGGAATAAGCAATGGCACTTTTGGAGAACCGGAGGTTTGGACTGCGACAGCAGGATTAAAAAGTGCCAAATAGAAGAGGGAGAACAGCTCATCACAAGGGGCCCTAAAGAGGGAGGGAAAAAACCAAACAGTCTTGTTGAAGTTGAAGAAAGGTAAATTTATTTTGGATATCAGATGCATTTTTTTTCTATTTTGAGAAACAATCCTGCAATAAACTTTTCTACTTTGCTGGATTTTTCCTCCCTTGCAGGTTTTTTTAAAAAGAAACTTCACATATGAATCTGCTGGAAACAATATTTGTTGACAAATGGAAACAAAACTCCTTTGTAATCATTTATAATTTATTTTTGTTTTTAAGTGTTATATCAAATTCTATCAGATTTATAATTTAGGGAGTTTACTGATACCTGCATTTACTACAGAAGTCACCCCAATAATTTTCTTAGGATGACTGCTTATAAGAAGGCAATAGAATTTTAAGATATCAAACAGCAATCAATACACAGCAGTTTAAAATAACCCTCTCAACGAAAAAATAATTGCTTTCAAATATAGTTTCATCAAGCTCACTTAGCTTATTTCTGTACCCCCTTCCCTGACTTGAATTGTGAGCCGCTCTGAGTCCCCTTCGGGGAAAAGGGCGGCATATAAATGTAATAAATCCAATCCAATCCAATTTCTAAAAGGCCAACTGGAGGTGGGGGCCTGGTTAGAATTTGGATGGGAGACCATCAGGATTTCTCAGAGCTATAGGCAAGACTAGGAAGTCAAAAATCATCCCACAAGTAAGCAAACCATAGCTACTCATATCTCATGCACTTATTTGATGCTGACATGAATAACCTATTCATGTTATTCAATATGTAGGAGAAATTTAATTTATCTAATGTTATAATGATTCTTTATAAACATTTGTTCACTATATAATCACTTTATTTATGCATTCTTTTCCATCCAATTCCTCTTAGAATCAAATTAACACTTTTGTTAATCAGCTAAATGTTAATTTTTTTGTGACACAAAATTTGGCCACAAATGGATTGAAACTAAGTGATCATAATAATGTCCAGGAACAATTAAATTGTCTTGTTTTCTGCTTATTATGTATTCCAATAAATAAGATAAAATTCATGAATTTAATTTGCATGTTCAAATTAATGTTTCTTTCATTCTGAAATGTTAATCTTAAAACTGTAAAGTTCTTCCTATTATTATCTTTCTAAATTTTAACTCGCCTTAAAGGTAAAGGTTCCCCTCGCACATATGTGCTAGTCGTTCTCAACTCTAGGGGGCGGTGCTCATCTCCGTTTCAAAGTCGAAGAGCCAGCGCTGTCCGAAGACATCTCCATAGTCATGTGGCCAGCATGACTAAATGCCAAAGGTGCACAGAACACTGCTACCTTAATGTAATAGCCTCGTAAGTCCTCGGACT